TTTTTTTCTTTTATTTTATTTTTTTTAACACAAACTTGTTAGAAATCTACGAATTTTTCCTTCATTTTGTTGATAATTCGCTAGACAGATGTTATTTTTATACTCGTTGCACGCGGACATCGGAAATACAATCAAGCGCCACTTTTCGTTATCAGCGCGTTATAGTGGATATCTTTCAATGGTACTCAACGCTTGCTGAAGTATATTCAAATCTAGGTATTCCAGTTCCGTATAAAATTTTGATTAATTGTTTTTGTTTTTGTTTTTTTTTTATGTATATCATGACTTCTAAGAAACCTCAAATTGATAACAACATTTCCCATTTTTATTTTATGATTTCGTTATACACTTACAACAAGTTACAGTCAATGGCATAGAACGTTCTCAGTTTCCATAGAATGTAATTGTGATTCTCTTCGAATTATTTGTTTTTATGTGCAGTGCGTAATTCTGAAATCAACAAAGGTAACGAAGTAAAACCTGACACAAACATACTAGCATAATTTGAAATCAAGCTCGATATCTTTTCCTAAGATCCATATATCGATTTTACTCGTTACCATTAAATCGTCCGACAATTTCAGAACATGCCAATAAGCTAAGTAGGTTGTGAGATGGAAAAGTCGAATACTCTAAAAGATTATAAACAAATGATTAACTCATCTGTAACCGGCCATTTGGTTAGCTCTCAGTTCAGATATCGATCAGAAAATTTGCTCCAATTCTCTGGCTATAACGAACGGTGTCATCGATCAAAATCAAGTCCTTGTATCGAAAACTTTTGTTCAGATTAGGCCACTATAGCAAATAACTGTCAAACAAACTGACTTTCTAAGTAAAAGTGGCTCACTGTGGAGCATATTCGTATTATAATCTGTAGCAGGGGATTTCATTTGTCACACCAGGTATTTCGTTGCGGTGAATCAAATTTGCTAACGTGTCGAATTTGTATACTCTTAAACAGCTCTATAGAAATTTTTAAAAATCTGAAACACTTGTGTTTAGTTGCTATTTCTAGAACAAATTACTTCCGTTATCCATCACGTTCGTAATTGTCGTGTTTCGTTTTAAAAACAAGCAATTATTTCGAGGTCACACATCCATCTTACAATGATTACTAAAATTGCGGTAATATGTGCTGTGTTCCTGCTTTTTGCGGCCGTGGAATGCCAACAGCACGATTTTTTTGGCGGTCTCTCTGGCTTGATGGACTTCGCTAAGAGTTCTGTTAGATATTTCCTAATACTACGTTCAAATACACCGAGTTGATATCAAGTGTGTTTTCATTTTCAGACTGATTTGCTGCAAAAGAAAACGGATTTAATTAACCAAGCGTCTCAAACTGCTCAGAGCTTTGACAAGTTGTGGAAAGGTTTTTATAATGATGCTAATTGAAACTAATAAAGTTGTATTCGTTGTGTACTTGTAAATGGTGTTTTTGAATGAAAATAAGAATAAATTCTTAAATGAATTGAAAGATTCGATTTAACAGCCTATATATTACATTAAAAATATAACCAACTATGAAATTGATTAGAAKACCCTTATAAACCGACAATGCTTTTTGAGCCGATCACAAATATGTTGAGGCGACTAATGCCAATATCTTCTGGTTTGTCGAATATATCACTGCCGAGATGTTTCAACCCCAGCTTGAAATAAAWAATAAAAAATATGTCTAAATCCCCCGAGTAAAGGTGTCTGACAGTGAGGTTTATGCTTTAAATTATCACAAATCCAAATCTCAAAATAAATGGCGGCTTCAAAAAAAGTCCTTTTTGAGAAAAAATTGTCTAATATTCGAAATATTGTCAAAATCCTATTACTTCGATCATTAACTGACAAATAGATGTGATATTCTAAGAAGGTCGTGTGAAAATTCTAAGTAGATTGTCCCATCCGATCCGAAGAAATTTTTCTCACCGACTCTGATAAAAGAGTTTCGACAGAACGCGTTTAAAAATTTTATAATGGATTAAAAAATGTTTACAAACGCGATCATCTCTTCGAAATAATTTCTCAGATCAACTTCGAATTTTCGGAGAATATTCCTAAATATATGTATATTCGATTTGCATATTAAATAATAAATCGATTTTTGTAGTTCACAAGAATAACCCCTTAAGTTAAAGATACAGAGAGGGGGACACCAATTTTCGATTTTTTTCATCTACGGCGGCTATATTTTCTTCACTTCGTGCTGGACGTGGTCTATTCGGTTGAATATTATCGATTCAAAGGCTATTGAAAAAATGACCTCTACTTGGATCACTTGTTGTTCAATAAGCAATATTGTTGAAGTTTTGCGTTATGTGTACTTGGTGCCTGAAAAACTTGCCTAGATGATCGAAATGTGTATCTCATTTTCCAACTCATTGGTCAATGACATTACAGGTTTCCCCTAATAGTCATTCCTCACATTTGTGGCCAATTACTTAATTTTCAAATACAAGAAGCAGCTTCTATTATTAATCATTGTTTTTGGGCGTAATTTTGAGTCATCGTTAGGTTCCCCAATCTTTGACAACAACAAATGAAACTCACCTATAAAGAAACACCTCGGTTATTTACACTGCGAGCTTCGCAAACAAAAAATCGCTTTAATCGTCATCCATCACACATATGTTCATACCTACGTTTATAGTAAATTTTGTGAGTAAAGGCACTGAAACAAAGAGCTCAATTAATTCAGCTCAGCTTCATTCATAAATGCGTTTATACTCACAAACATAATTGTATTCATTGAGAATGCCCTGTAGGGAAAATATTAACAAAGATAAATATTAAATAAAGTCAAGTTTTGATGTTTATTTAATTTTTTGAACTATTTGATTTCATATCCGATGTATATTCATAAAAAAAAATTATTTTTATAAATATTCTATTACTAAAATTTTATTTTATGACCAATATATTGGTTTAAATTAAAATTTAGTGTTTTTGTGCTCTCAAACTGTAGCTGGAATTATTCTTATAATTTTTTTAAGAAATTAATTTATAAAATTTGTTTGTCAAGTCATAATTTTCGCACATAACTAGTCAGTTTACCACATTTTGCAAGATCGATGGTAAAATTTTCCTGCAGGGGATTTTTGTGAATAATTAATCATAAATGGAGCTACAGACACACAAATTAATATATGTACATATTTGGTGAATGTCCGTGGTTTCGCTATTTCTTCTTAATCATTATCATAACTTTCGTTCGTTTCGTTTCTTGCTTTTTGTTATTTTTTACTGCATTTTATTCGCGAACTATTGGTGGAACGTCATTTAAACTGTATTTCTTGGTTTTATGTCATTCCTTTTTATACCAGTTACATTTTTTTTTATATCTGGTTTTTCAAAACGACAAATCTTTTGATCAAACGTCATTGTGGGAAACACTCCTTATTAACTTAAGAAAAAGTACATACAAAACTAGCTTCGGGCTGTAAAATTTGAATATTGACTGATTTGTTTAAATTAATTAAATTGAGCCCGAATAATTTTTTGAATAGGAAAGTCAAATTCGAGATAAGAGCGCTATAAAAGTTTTTTTTTTTATAAAACAAAAACAGTTTGGGATATCACTGAAATTCTTTATTCCTGGGAGTGTACATTCGATGCCTTTATATATAGAGTTCGATTTCTTTTGCGTGGCCACCACGGACACACCCGTATAAGTCCAGACGCTGATTCCAATTTTTTATGGCATAAATCGGTCGATACTGCTGTAATTTCACGTTCGATATTCATAGGAAGTTCAACGTCGCTAGCTTTTTGTCATAGACCATAGACTTGACGTACACGTTCACCAAACTTTGTTATCAATAAATCGATTTTGACATTCGCTGTGTGGCTTGTGCCGCCATCGTGTTGGAAACACATATTGCTACAGATGATTTTTCGATGAAAATCCGGATCATTTTCAAGTTGCTGCTAAGCCCAATTTACGAACCTACGACGATTCTGGTGGTCAATTCAATTCTTGTATCAATTTGATTTTGTAAGGATGAAGGCCAAGATCTTTTCGCAAAATTTGCAAAACGACGTTACATAGATCCCCAAAGCTTTAGAACGGCATGTGAGAGAGGGATTTGGGTCTTCCACAATTGATGCGCTAGCGGTAGAAATATTCTCAGCACTACGGGTACTTCTTTGTCTCACTGGCAAGGGAACATCTTGTAGTGATATTGGATTAAAATTTTTCTACTAGACGCTCAATTGTTGATCTTGCAGGATGATTATGACGACCATAAATTGGACAGAGCGTTCTTAAAGTTGAGAAACCCTGACTCCGAGTTTCGGTAGTAAATTTTAATAATTTCGACTCGGATCATATATCTTCCCATGATAAAATGGCAAACCTTACTGAAGAGAAATGCCCAAAGAACGGGAAAAGTATGGCATCGTTTGCTGTCCCTACAGCAACTATTTTGAATACAAAAGATATATTTATAACAACTACTAAACCAGGAAATATATAACAGAAGAATATAGGAAATTTTATTAACAAATGTAAAGAATCGATATGTTTTTATTTTATTTTTTTATATTTTTCAATATCGTATTTTAATAAAATACTTTTTCTATTTTACTCTTCATAAATCAGTCATAGAAATGTCTAAATAAATAATCTTAATTTAAATTAAGTTACAAAACATATAAATATATAGTTGGCGCAGAAAAATATTCAGCTTATCCTTTCAATGTTGCCGCAACATTGGCTGCCTGTTGGGCCACAGCGATGGTCTGTATTGAGGCATCTCGTGTATGTTGACCAACGCGCTCCTGAAATTTTACGGAAAAAATTGGAAATTTAAAAATATTTCATTCCTTAAGATATTGTAGAAAAATATATTTAAGTTTGAAGTAGTTCTTGTAGACTTACAATTTTCTTGCCAATCTTTTTCAACCATCCTGCATCGGTTTGACCAGCGAAGGCGGCAATGAAAACAGCCAGGAGAACGAAAATTTTGTTGAAATTCATTTTATTTAAGTGTTTAAATTTGTGTTTGACTGATTTTACACTTGCTGCTGCTTCCGTCTTTGTTGACACTCGAATTGTGTTTGTTGATCGATCATCAGCTCAAGCTCAGCTTTATAGTACGCCCGAAAAAAATACACAACAGCGGCAGCGGTGTTATCAGTATTTTGGCGGGGATTTCTTTCGATTTAACGCTTAATAAAGTAGCTTTGTTGTACTTATATGTATGTGTTTTTAATATCATATAAGCTTTGAATTATTCGCTTTTGAGTTAAAGCAAAAAATTTAAAATACATATCTACGTACTGGCAAATAAGATTGTACTCGTACATATCTCAGGAATTATAACTAATAAGGTCACAAATTTATATAAATAAATTATATATAATAAATATTTCTTTTTGCTATTAGTAATGTCATTGAACAATTATGGAATACCTCATACTTCAATTACTTTACTAAATTTACTACCACTCTATTGTCTAAGCGAAATTAGTAATTCTCTGTAATATTTATGTTAGGTAAATAATAAAAGAAGGAAGCTAGGGAAAAGAGGGATTGCTATTGCCAAATTTTAAAATAATATATTTTCTATACATATGAGCAAAAAATAGTGAAACTTTGATTTAACTTGTTTTCACGTGGTTTTTCAGTTTCGGCTCACCTTTGCCACTATATTCGGCCGATTGTTCTGTTTCAGGGTCGTAGCTAGATCTAACACTCATCGCCAGTAATAATACGTTTCATGACATCCTGGTAGTCGGAAAGCATTATTTCACAGACGTTACCGCGATACTGTTTTTCGAAAAAATTTACTGATTTTAGAACTAACTGTGATTTCACTTTTCTTTGGCCCAAATGGTCTTTCAAAATGGTTTTCACTAATCCTTCCAATATTAATTTATTCCATTCAAAAACACTTCCGTGCGAAACGTACAGAATCGGCATCAGAAATTTGATTCCGCACACAAACTTCAATGGCATTTCTTTGTTGAATAATTTCACTTACCGTAAACATCGCCGAAAAAACTTTGTTTGCTTTAGAAAGACAAACGTGTAGTAAACACTAATGATGAGATTGACGTGACAATTGACACAGATGTCACAGATAGTCTTACCAACTTTCCACAAAAAAAAAAAAATATATATATATATATATTTCGAAGAATGGGTTTTCGCTCGAAATTTAAATTAAAAATTCTTACTGTATTTTGCCCACATTTCTGATAGCGGTTTATCCGAAATTCTGTTAGGGCGTATTTCTTTATAAAATTTTAAGGTACCAATGAATAGTTGACTTGACTTTGATCGGTCGGGTTGTATGGCAGCTATATGCTATAGTCCTTCGATATCCGCGGTTCCGAAAAATGAGCAGATTTTTGCGGAGAAAAGAAAAATTTTCAGATCGATATCTCAAAAACTGTAAGGGTTAATTCGAAAATATACTGACTGACTGAAGAACAAATCATGTACAGCTGTTAATTTTTTATAGCGTCTTCGACGTTTCCTTCTAAGTGTACAAACTTCATGGGAAACTTAATATAATCTGTACAGAGTACAATCATATCCTATGCCCTATATACGGAATAAATAATACTTACTTTCATTAGTAAAGATTGACTTTTACCACATAAAAAGCTTTGCAGCTGTGCGTCGAGATATTATCTATTGAAACTAGTTTATGTAAGGTTAGGTAATCAATTTGATATTCGTGAAGTCACGAGTGATCTCACTTGGACAGCTAGGAACGCCGCATCGGTTGTGATGCCCAGAACTCCCAAGTATGGATTAAAAAGGACGTCGATTATCGACAAGGTGCCTTGAGTTTGCCCCAAATCTGTTGATGGAGCTGCCGAGGGCGGCTGTAAATGCCCGGATTTGTGAAAGAATAAAAATAATTATTTATACCATGATAGCGCCTCTTTTTGCTTTAGCATTAAGTTAACATTAATGAAACCGCAGCCACTGTATTCCTCAGATCTGTCCCACTATGATACCAAAATTGATGAGGCCCATGCAAGAAGACGCTACTCAACGATTGAGAAGATAAAAATTCATGAATAAATAAACACTTTCCTAAGAAACACATAATACGTGATACTTTTTGAATAAAACTCGTAAGACTAGTATAACGAAAAATAGTGTGGAACCAGACGGTTCTTTGAACTAAAAAATTAATATTAATAATAAGAAGTAAAAATATTCTCATAGTTTGCTTAAAACTATTACACATGAAGCATAGTCGCAAACAATTTCAGAAACGAGCATTGAACCGATAAAAATTCAATATGTTAGACTTCGGTTTGGGACGAAGTGTTTTTAGCCTTTTCCAAATTACAGTTAGTTAAGTCGACTAATACAATATTAATTCCAGCCAATTCATTCTAATGTGATGTTTCAACGGTCTGTCGAGCAGAAAGTAATAACTTTCTTAAAGGAAAAATTGCTCAAGCAATATATTGCCGCCAAAATAGGGATTGTCAGTATTCGAAAGGTTCTTTATATGCTTAAGGTAAATATTATATCGCATTTTTAAGTTTTTTTTAAACACTTGATTTCATTCTCAACTTTATTTGAGTATTTTGATCACAAAATTATCTAAATAAATAAATATTAATCTTAATTTAGGTACATAAATGTTTTTGTTGCTACTTTCAAAAATGTTGCGATTATCCTTTCACAGTTGCTGCAACATTGGCTGCCTGTTGCGCCACAGCGATGGTCTGGATTGTAGCATCTCGTGTATGTTGTCCCACGCGTTCCTGAAATTTTATTGAAAGATATTGAAATTAATAAATGATTCGGTGTTTAAGAACTAGTAGAGAAATATATTTCAGTTTAGATGAGTTCTTCGAGACTTACAATTTTCTTGCCAATCTTTTTCAACCATCCTGCCTCGCTTTGTGCAGCAAAGACGGCAATGAACACAGCCAGAAGAACGAAAATTTTGTTGAAGTTCATTTTGTTAGTTTGTGTTTATTTTACGGTTGTTGAGAAGTTCTCTACGCTTCGACGTTCGAATTATGTTTATGGATCATTAGCAAGCTTGTCGTTGTTTTTATAGCCGGCGTGAACACGTTGGAAATACAATTAAGTGTCAGCTTTCGTTATCAGCGCATTGTCGAGGATTTCCTGCTATGACACTCAGTGCTTGACAGAGGAGCTGAGTGTACGTGAATTTATGTACGAGTATATGTATATGAATGTGTGTATTTGCAGCATCATAGAAATTTTAATTATCAATCTCTGAGTGGGCAACTTAAAATAGTGAGCCAAATCTAAAAATAAAAAGCACTTTTGTATGCATTTATTTATTTATTAGGCTTTAGCAATTACCGGTGCTCTTTCTTATCAATTAAATTCTTGGATGTAGTCTGTGCAAAAATCGCCTTTTTAGCCAAGGCCGATTTTGCAATTGCGCTCGTTTCTAAACAATAATTTAAAAACGTTATCTCAAAGGGAGCTTCTTATGAGGTCTTAAATCTGCTTGGGAAATCTTAAATTTAAAAGGCAACCATTTATCTCACTCTCTGTAGGTATATTTCAAATATGAGAAGTATCTTGAGTTATTAATCACTCCGACCTTTTTTGGGAAATTCGGTTTCCTGACATATATGTAGTAACAATTAAAAAAATTCACTTGCAAATAAACAGTTTTTTACTCAGCAAATTTTGTAAAGAAATGAACGTAAATATATTTAGGTCTGTTTCATACATATAAATCTACATATTTTCTCATGAATAAACGCTTCCATAAAAAAATTTAACACATGACCCAACAGGAAATCATTTAAAAAAGTGATTTTAGAGACTATTGGCTAATTGCTAGAACGGAAAATGATAGTAATTATTTTCCCAACACRTATGATTTTTGCATTGGAAACCTCCGCCATTTACTAAAACTACAAAAATAGSTYTACGTGATGGAAAAGTTTTGAACTCAAATTCGAGATCAGAACACCTCCAATACCCAACAGACCTCTTAGCACAACAGTCGCACATTTYTCCTTAAAATTTGTTGACTAGTGTAATTTTGAAAACATAACRGTTTGAAAATAAATATTTTGTTGAACAAAAATGGTCAAGCTTCSAAATTTTATCAAGTAGCCTTGGTTTTGTTTATTTCGACAGACTGATGATTMAATTTTCCTACAGGGTAGTTGTGTAAATAATTAATTAAAAATTCCTATAAATACGCAGATGATTGAGTGTTTGTAGTTATGCTATTTCTTCCTTATAAGTATTGTATTTCTGAGTATTAGGTGACTCCTCATTATCCCAGTTTCATTACTTTTTGCTTTCTCTATTGGAAAGCGTTAAACCGTTTTTTTGTGTYAAACGATCAACTTTCTTTGCCGGAAATCCAAATTTCATATACATATGTACGTCATTTTTAAAATCACCGATTAAAGCATAAAAAGTAATAAAATATATTTATCTTCATCTTAAGCGGTCAGACTGTATGGCAGATAGGTGCTATACAAAGTTCTCGAATATGAAGGAGTTATTGGAATATTGTACCATTGCTTTAGATAATAATCCATGACRAATTTCATGGAAACAGCTTTTCAATAAAAATATGTTCCATACGGGAAGTTGAGTTTGATCGTTCTGTTTTCTTGGTCCGCTATCAACTGTTCCGACAAATAAACTGCTTTTTGGCGAGAAAAAGTCGTGTGTAAAATATCAGATCGATATTTCGAAAACTGAGGCATGAAACAAAGAATTTGTCTGAACTTTTGCATTTCTAACYGAATTTCGTGTGCGGAATCATTGCGAATGTTGAAAAAGCATACGATGATTCAGGAACACAAGCCTACGAGTGATACTAGCCTTCACAGGAGGTCGAGAGATCGTATGTATTCAACCTCGTTCTGGACGACCTTCGATCTCTTTAACTGATAAAAACATTATACAAGTGAAGGATATGGTGCTTGAAAACCGCCAGGTAAGTGTTAAAGAGATGGTAAGAGAGCTCGACATCTGTAGCGAGCCCGTTCCAATAATTTTGGTGGATATTTTGGGTATAAAACGCGTACTTGCTCGACTCGTCCCGATAAAGCTGAATTTTATTCAAAAAGATTGCGATTATGACCGAATTTAAAGATAAAAGCGCAATGAATACCATTGAGCAACCACCATATTCACCATATTTGGCTCCGTGTGAATTTTGTTACAAAAATTGTAATTGCCGGGGAACTCGTTTTCAGTCGATCGAAGAGATAAAATAAAATTCGCTGAAGGAGCCGAAGGCCATCCCAAAAGTGCTTATGAAAAATGTTTCGTGGACTGGAAAAATCGTTGGCATGAGTGTCTTATATCTAGAGGAATTACTTGGAAAATAATAATAGGTTGTCCAAAAGTCTTGCGGTATTTTTATTGAATTTTCAATTGTTCATACAATTTTTTTGTGCGGTGGAAATTGAAACTGTATCAGGTCCATAAACTGCACGAAATTTATTGGCGGCTTGAGATGCATTTTTGCCTTTATCGTAGTAGTACTGTAAAATATGCCGTATTTTCTCTTTATTTTGCTCCATGTTGGCGACGCTATAACTCACGCACGACTTAAAAGTAGTGACAATCAATCAAACACGCGTTAGCGCATGAAATGAGCTTTCAAAAAAGGTATAGCATGACCCAATGAGACGAATATAACTAGAACTACGCGCTCTCAGCGCCAACTAGCGAAAACACCGCAAGACTTTTTTTACAACCTAATATATTGACGAATAATTAAATATTTTGCCGGGTACTTTTTTGTCACACTGTACTATATATAGGCTAAAGTGACTCAGCTCGTCCTTCTGATTATTTACATATATATCCACTTATACCTTATAGTGAATTTGTTTCCTTCTGGGTGTTACAAACTTCCAGACAAAGTTTATATACTCTATCCTGGATATAAAAATGGCTTTCTACAGCTAAAATTCTTATTGGATTATGAATGAGAGTCTACAAGATTTTTGCTTGATCATTTTCTCACACTTCTACATCGATTTAGTAAAGTTTTGTCATCTCTTTTCATCTGATAATCTTCAAGTAGCTACAAAGTAATGTCTAAGCAGTGTAATATTATATTTGACCTGGTCTAAGGAAGGGATCTTAGTTGTCAACAAATCAATTTTCACTTCTTAGTTGATTCGGATGGAAGATGAGATGCTTTTTTTAACAGCTGTTTCCCAGAAAACTAGTTTTCGCACGTTAGCTCCCTTTTCGTAGACCAGGTCACATATAGTTCCTTTCAGCCCCACTTCCTAGTTTCATTATATTACTTTATTTAAACTTTATTTAAAACACCAAGATTTTGCAGAGAACGATTTGTTTTTATTATCATTCAGTGTTCATTGAAAACATACTGCTCAAAGAAAAGAGCGTGAATTTTTGTAGTAGTAGATGGTAGATATGTTGCGACGAAGGAACTTATTCTAATTGCCCGTGATACCATAACACAAACATACATTAATAAAATTAAAAAATATGTAGCTTTTTTGGGAAAATTATTTTTTATTCAAATAACTCTACTTTAATCTCCATAAATCGTTTACTATTTTCTAAATAAATAAATATTAAACTTAATTTGGGTACATAAATGCTTTTGTTGCAACTTGCGAACAAATTCAGTTTATCCTTTCACAGTTGCCGCAACATTGGCGGCCTGTTGAGCCACAGCAATGGTCTGAATGGTGGCATCTCGTGTGTGTTGACCAACGCGCTCCTGAAATTTTACGGAAAAAGTTCGAAATTCATAATTACTTCGTTCGTTAAGAGTTTTTAGAGAAATGTATTTCAGTTTGAAGTAGTTATTGGAGACTTACAATTTTCTTGCCAATCTTTTTCAACCATCCTGCCTCGGTTTGTCCGGCGAAGACGGCAATGAATACAGCCAGAAGAACGAAAATTTTGTTAAAATTCATTTTAGGTTAGGGTTTATTTTTAATTTTTTTTGTATGTTTGATTGATTTTTTAAGCTTGGTGTGCTTTTGCTTTATTCAACGTTTGAGTAGTGTTTAATGATCATTCGTCAGCTCGACGATGCTTTTATACTCGTAGCGCCGGCATCAGAAAACTAACCGAATGTCATCTTTCGTTATCAGCGCGTTTTTGGGGGATTTATTTCACTTAGTGCTGAACAGAAAAGCTTGGTATTGCTTTGTTGCTGTTTATGCAAGCTTGTTGCAATGTGTTTACCGCTTCATATAATTTTTAGAAGATCAATTTTTGGGTTAKTTTGGGCAACTAGAAATATCGTGGTAGTTATATGTAAATAGTAGTATTTATATAAAAAATTTCAAATTTTCATTTAGTGTAAAATTCATAAATAATTGCCCAAAAATATTAGACTGGTGTATGGTTTCTAAAATTATCGACTTCTACTACTTTAGTTTTAGTTTTAGTTTACATTAGGATTATATTAAATACATACATACATATAACTGATTTGAAATTTAGAAATCAGTCTCTTGTAGATGCATTTCTGTTTCAGAAATATAAAGTTATATACATATATTTTGGAAAATACCCATTTGATTAAGGGTGCATGTAGTCTAGAGCTGTCAAAAGAGATCTAAATTTATTCTGCAAGTAAGCATCAATGAATCGCATTTTTCTCTTTTAGGTTCGATTGAACCAGTATTCAAGTATATAAAACATTGGATATACATATATAGATGAAATATTGGCTACTGGGCCATTCCGAACATCGGCTGAGAACTGGTTCATCATGTAATTATGCTCCAGTGTTAAATGATTGTCACACACCGAAACAAAAATTCGGTTTTATKACGATTAAAGAGCACTCAAACACTCYTCAGTATTAACAATTCGCTGTTTTTGTTGGATTATGAACTTGCGCGGCAMCCACTTAGCACAGAGCTTTCGCTTCTTTWGGGCCTCATTGTCCYTGGTGCTCATTTCGCACWCTTTCCAACTTAGCAAATCTCTTTTCAATGGTGCAGAGCCCAAATTCAACAGTATTTTCCCTAAAAAAGCAATGCTTTATTAACACACGATCCATTTTTTTTTGTTTTTGTAAACTAATACAAGTTTCTTCACAAAAATCCTATATCTCATTAACTAATAGTTATAATCTAACTAATAGATGATAGTAGTAGCAGTAGTATATCTATTATAATATAATAATTCAACCTTGACAAAATTTTAAAACAACAGCCTTGAATTAAAATTTGTTAAATTGTTATATGAATTCAATAATTTTTATTTAAACAATTTTCGTGAATTAATGGATTTACTGCCGTAGTATTACATACAAAAATACTTATATCAATAGTTGTACCGACAGCCAGATCTCTATAAAAATACAATGCATTCTTGTGTAGAAATTATTTTTAGTCGTCAGTTTGCCCATGCGATTTCTTATCACTAAAAACGACTCCAGAACAGCATCTGTGCAAAAATCCCCTTTTCTTTAGACAACGCGCTCGTAAGCGTCGATCCCTTTTATGGCATAATGTATAAAAGCAACGAATTGACTGGAGGTCAATCATTCAACTCTCCATACTCGTTGTCTTTGCTTCATTCACGATGAATACAAAACTCGCGGTTATCTTTGCTGTCTTCTTGCTTATTGCGGCTGTGGGATTCACACAGGCCGATTGGTTGGACGATCTAAACGAAGGAACGGTAAGTTATTTGCTTAATGCACTCATAGCTTCTGGTATTATTTTGAAGTGTTTGGGTTTTCAGAATCAAGTAGTGAGTGCGGTAAACGAAAATGCGGGGAAGATCAATAAAATTGCTACAAGTATTGATGCTCTTGGAAAAATACTAAAAACTTTGGATCCAGATTCGAATGAGGAATAAATTTATTAAAGTTTAGTATTTTTAATTTTAAGTAAAGTTATTCGTTGGCTGTGTAATCTCTGTGAAATTWGTAAATTTTTGAAAATGTAAAATAATTTTTAACCTTAGTAAATATGTTTAATAGTTTTTATTGAGGTACAGGAAAAACACTTTATTGGAGTTTATAAAATAATGATTTACTTAAATAATTAATAAAATTTTAACATATACTRTATACACCTAATTCGAGTTGGTTTGATTTTGGGTCTATCACCTGTACATTTTCTAGAATCTTATTTATTCATTAAGGTACTTCATTTCAATAGAAGTTATTCAACAAAAACATCGCTATACAGAATGGGCAAAATATTCTGGAAATGTCTATGCGTAAGTTAGAGATGAGTTTTCTGGAATGATTTTTTCGTTAAAAATGTTCTCTCCAAATTGGAACTAGTTATCTTCAAAACTCTTCTTTTGAGAGTGAGAGGAATCGTTCTGAAAAACACCCTTTCCCACTATGTTGCCTTTCTACAAGAAACGCTGTAGCGATCGTAATAATTTGAATTCCGATTTGCAAATTTGAGAGAATGTTTATTACAGTGTATACTATCCAATAATGCAACAAAAAAAAAAAAACCCGATTTTTCGAAAAAAATTTCACTGGGAAGATTCCTTAAAGTTTTTCAGTATCATAATAATTTTCTGTTCCCTTACAGTTCCCTTTTGGGCGATTTAACAAAGATAATCATTCAGTCCTTATTGGAGTGGTTAGTAGTGAAGTAGTTATCTAAGATGGAGCATGTCATGTATTTAATATGCATTTTCAATTAGTTTGAACATGAGATCTTCAATACATTGCATTTTGTCTTCCTTGTTCGTGATTTTTTGGCCGAAGAAAGCACCAAAATAGCTTTGTCACTGGAATAAGTTATCTCTAGATTTTTTTCCCTTGAGTTTTGGTACAGATCAGATCATAAGCGAATATGAAAACTATAGATTAATGTTATATATTTCTTTTTAGAAATTGAAACTTTTTTGTGCATAATACCAATAATAATAATTATAACCTAATTTTTYCCTATTGTCATCTCTCAGCATTTTCACGTATCGTATGGTCAGTCTGAATTTCAGTTCAATCTGAAGCTCAGAGTATAAATTCTTATTTTCTTCTATGAACCCAGTGAACGAAAACATGCATAATGTCGTTTGACAGTGTTTCTCCCTCTAATCTAGTTTGAGATATCTTTTAATTACATCCGTACAACATATTAGCTTCTCTTAAAAAGTGTGACTTTTTGGTACTGTAAAAAATAGTAAAGTACTTTCATTGCATACCTTTCCAAACTCGGTTATTTCCTGTATCCAAAGCCAAAAAATACCAGCTCAAAGCATATGAAGAATCCCCGCTAAACAAAAAAAAAAAAAAAAAAATTATAGAAATAGCAGGCAGCATTCATATATTTCTTTGTTTCGTCTGAGCTGACTCACAGCAGTGTACACGCACAGGGAAATCACTTGATTGATCGTGTGCTTAGTGTTCTCTCGCGGGTAAAACTTAATGCGGGCCAATGATCAGAGCTTGACTACAGTAGGAAAGAAAACACGATCAAAGCGTGTTAACTTTTAAAAAGTTTGTAAAATATCGGAAGCAATTAAGCGCAATTTACACAAAATGAATTTTAGTGATATCTTGTTCATTCTTGCTATGTTTATGGTAATCTTCTTCTAACAGACTAAAACCGTTTGGCTCAGGAAGATTAGAAAAGGTTTAACTAATTGAATTCAATTTCTTTCCACTATAGCCACGCTTACAATGGATGAGTGTGAATTTTGATGTATGTATACAGTAAATTGAATGTCTTTTTGYCTTTGTTAATATGACTTTTGTCAATAAATTCCGTCACAATGTGTGATCCGATTCTTCTAAAAAATATCATATCTTATTAATTATATCTGAATAACTCAATTAGAATTCTATAGCCAGAAAGTTCACTAGCATATAATAGGTCAATTCTAAAGTGCCCGGTCTGACAAATAGATGACGGCACTAGAATTAAATCCRTATTATTTTTAGTTAGCTCTAACCTTCAAAAGGCGTGAATATAAATATGACAATTGTCGGATYATTAGTTTGTGAATTATATATTATTTTGAGTGAAGTAACCTTTGTTATTGTGAAAAATATGGATTAGAGGAATGTTGAACTTGGCTTACTGACAGTTTCCGGTAACTGACGCAGAAAAATCCACCATGAAGGATTGATATGTTAAGTTCGAACGTGGCGAAATAAAAACGGTGAACCCAGTGGTTCACGATTCCTCTTTACGAACGTATACAAAACAATTAACGAAGTCTTTCTGCTGAGAAAAATATTTCTATATCCAAGATGTTCAACATAGTTATGATTTAACGTCATTTTTGAGTTATCCACTTTGCGAGTCGTAGGGATTTTTCATTTTCGGAGAAAAACTACCGCTCATTAGGCAGAATTTGGTCGAAGCTACTCAACTCGAGAAAAGTTTATTCAAGGTAAGCATGCATACATTTTTTCATTACCGCAATTTTTGAGCACTCGAACTAATGAGTTATGACAAAACGAAGTCTTTCCTATGAAATTAAACGAGTTGTCATAAGAACAGCGCATTATGAGTGAGTCCTATAGTAATCTAAAACTCAATTCGTTCCAGTTTCAGCAAAAAAAAAAAGATGTCCTTAAAGCACGTACAGTTAACGCCCACTTGAGTAAAGAAATGGGACGAAACAAATGAAAGGTTAATACGACGCACGTTCGCTATATGCAAAGTGATAAGGTATAACCCCTCAATTGAAAATATGTAAGTGTATATGTCTGTATGTAATTTTAAAAATATATTATTAGTAACAATGTACCACGCGCCTCCTGGGAAATTGACAGGTTGTGTAAGAATTATGTTAAATTTCGACATTGACACACATACACATTTATGTATATATTAGGGTGGGTCAAAAAGGAATGTTTCTTTTTTTGGCTTGCTACTCTCAGTTATAGTTATAGATTCTTAAGACACCTCTACGAATATTTCTCCGCGTAAGTGAGCTCTTGATTGCAACGGAAGATAATGCACCCTAAAGTTTTTTATATTTTTGKTTTTTACTATCGGATATTATACTATATATCGGGTGATCCATGCCGAGGTTGCCGAGGTTCACTACTTAT